TCAGGCTCAGGTTCAGGTTCATTGAACCTGAACCTGAACTGAACTGAACCTAGGAACCCTAATCATGTAGAAGGCTGTGAATATTATGAGCAGGGCATAACTTTGGATGCCTTGATTTTCATGATATATCATATATTTTTACTATAGTTTGGTATATATTTAATAAATATGATCAAACCCTTAATGCATTATCTTATTATAGAAACATAGCTATAATTGGAAATAATTTGAAAGTAAATCATATAATAAAACTAATAATGTATTTTTAGTATATACGTATATAATTTCAAATAAAGTTTACACAGCAATGTATATATCTTATTATGGAATCAAAAGTTATTGAACTTAAAAAATCTTATAAATACAACTCAAATATGATAAAAAATTTTGGGGCATGCTCAGAGCTATCAAGATAATCCATGATGCAGCTCATATAGTGCAAATAAGATAGTATAAATTTAATAAAAAAATTATTTTACAATACTTGATCAGACTTGATCAGTCAAATAGTACATGTTATGATTATAATCCAACATCATGTTGGATTATAATCATAATATGTACTATTTGACTAATCAAGTCCAATCAAGTATTGTAAAATAATTTTTTTATGTGCTTTACTCTGTGTGTAAAATCAGTTGTGTAATATCAACAGTTTCTCCTGTTTATTAGTATGTAGTTATTATACACTAATACACTTGAATCCTTGATAATGCAACTGATAAAAAAAAAAAATCTAATTCAAGCTATTTATACTTGCATTTATTGCTATTGCAATACTAAATAATTAACCAAAACCTTTTTTGATAACTATATTCATGAGCATTCTCATATCATTTAAGTGTGAATTTGAATAATGATTCAGGATCAGATCTGTACAGAGATTGCTATTATATGACCCAGAGTTGTCACAAAAAATACAGGGTTATGTGATAGTATATATAGTACATATGCCTTCTTACCAATAATTTTTATGCACCTTGCTCTTTACTGAGGCAGAAATAATATATAATAGCTAAATATTGTGGCTGTGACATGAACGCGGGTTTTTGAGGTTGCCCTGGATGTCTCTAAAGATATATTAGTAGTAAATTAGATAACTCAGGTAATTCAATAGTGCCTAGTACTAGAGAATAATCATTTAACTAATTTTCAAACAATTTTTAGTGGTTTTTTGATTGAACAGATTTTCACCTTAAAGATTAACAAACATCAAGGAAATTGGAAGAGGTGAATTTAGCTCTGTATATTATACAAATTGTTTGAATGATTAAGAATAAGAAATAATACTATTGTTGCACTTAAAACTTATCTTTTAAAAGAATTAAATAATTATTTGATATCTATGAATAATAAATTATATGGATTAACTCGAATAGAAAATGAATTTATGATGGTGTTTCAATATGCTAATGATGGAATATTTAAGAAAAATTTTCACGAAATTACTTGGAAGGATAAACTAAATTCTGCTAAATATTTCTAGCGATTTAGACCAAACTCACAATTCAGGATATATTCATGCAGATTTACATAGTGGAAATATTTTACAAAGTTATTGGCACTCTTACGTATTAGATTTAGGATTACCAGAAAAACAGATATTTCAAAAAGTATTTATGGAGTACTTCCTTATGTCACTCCTTAAATATTGATGGGTACATCATTTACACAAAAGGCAGATATTTTAGTTTTGAAATTATTATGTGGAATTAGCAAAAGAACAAAGACCTTATGATGGACATAAATTTAATATTGATCTTGCTATAAAATTCTGTACAAAATTAAGGCTGAAATATTCTACTAATATTCCTAAATGCTATATCGAATTAGCAAATTAAATTTAAAAAGTCGACCTACCGCTAGAGAAATTAACAATATAATTGAACATTGGAGAAATAATGAAAAATATTGAAACAATTTGTTGAAGATAAATTCAGACCAAACATTGAACTACCAAAGCATCCTGATCATATGTATACTAGCAAACTCATAAATACCAAAGAAATCTCATTTATTAAAATTGTTTGACAGCGAATCTGTTAATAAAATCATTATATGAATACGTATTGTATTGTATTATTCTATATGACAATAATTAGATCTTGTAATTCTTCAAAAGATTATTCTAGATAATTCATTTTTTTTAAATTTTACATACTTAAAATATATTTATTTTTGATTATCTAATAAGATAATGCACATGGTTCAATGCAATTCTTGATTACTATTTTAAGGTTATGGAGATTGAATGTTTCATAATAGATTCATATATATAGCAAAAACTTGGTTTACACTAATCACAACTCTGACATGAATATAAAGGCTTATTCAATATATAGAAAATATCATATGGGGACCCCCACAGCAAAAGAGTGCATTGGGACAAAAATTTTAATTTTGTAATTTTATAAAAATTGTAATCCCATTAGTCTAATTCTTCAAGAAATCAATTAAAATAAAAAAAAAATTTTTTGGCCCAATGCACCCTTTTGCTGTGAGAGGTCCCATATATACTATCGGAGAATAAGGAAGAATAAGTAACTTCTGGGGTTTGGGTCAGAATCCTGACAGGTCATAATCCCGACAACTGAAAAAAGTTTGAGTAATTTTACTATAAATCGCTTAAACCCTAATCTAACCTAAACTAGACAATCACCCAACCCTAACCTAACTTAAATAAACATAATAATTTTTTGTTGTCAGAAATTGTTAGGATTATGACCTGTCGGGATTTTGATGGCACCTTATATCAGGTTTACATTATTTCATTTAGGGCACTCCAAGCATCTCTTCCTATGTGATTGTCTAATGATCGAGATCGTTACAAGTACTAGGATTAATTTAAGTAATCTTTACTATAATTTTTGTCAAAGATTCATATGGGAATGTGGATACTGTATTGTTTTAACCCATCCTATCTTTTTTTATCGGTATGCTGTATATCGTTTTCAATAATATTAATTTTAGGCATAGATCATCTGGTTTATTGGCTGTAAATTGCTCGTGATCTGCCACATTTCCTTTTAAGCTAAAACGGAAAGGATTTTTGTCAAGTATTTTTATATTATCTTTATCTGATATCGATATCGTAATTATCGTGATATATCTTGATATATCTAATATATCTGATATACCTTTATCTGATATATCTTGATATATCTAATATAGCCTCCAAAAATTTCTTATCGTACTTAGGTTGTATTTATAGATTTTTTGACTGTCACGTTAAATTATATATGGAGAGCCCACAGCAAAAGGGTGCTTCGTAGCAGCCAATCATAATTTGAGATTTTACAATAATTACTTGTCTAATAGTCTTATATTTATAAATATAAGTTTTTGTTTGTTAATTATGTAGTAAATAATTTTTTTTTGATACGTAGCGATAACTAATTTGTAACAGTAATGGTTAAGATTAGCATATCGACGTGCATATAGCTTGTTATAATCAGCATATCAACGTGCATATTCGGTTAATTATAGCTTGTTATAATCAAGATTTAATTAGTCACAAATGCAATGATATATTTACATTGTAAAAACAATATTACTAATGTAAATGATATTCTCTAAACTGGATTCAATCAGGTTAAATAATTAAATAATCAATCCAGAGTGTAGCGGAAGATCTTAATTATACTTACTTGACTTGTGAGTTTTAAAAGTTTTTAGCCGTTAAATTAATTCTGGTTTTTAGTCGATTTTGTACACAACAAGCATATTGATTCTTTGGGCTGATAATTACGTATTAGTTCAGAATTCTTTATTCTGATAAAAATATGAAATATAACATATGTTCTAATAATAATGATGTAAATGATATTATTTTAACATCTTTAAAAGATTTAGACAACATTTTTTTTGTTGAACATTCAGATTCAGAAAATGAAAAAGATATTGAAAAATTAGATAATAAAGAATTAAGTAATAAAGAATTGAAAAATGAAGAATTAGACAATGAAAAATTAAATGATAAATTACCCAATATTGATAATAATCTTAATTTAAATAAATTAAATGAATTAGAGTTCGTAGATATTTCTGACGATTATATTAAGACAAAATATATAATGAATTAAAATCATAAATAAAAATTTTTTGAAAAAAAAATATTCATGTTATTCTACTAGACAACCTTGCTTTGAAAAAATCATATATAATTAATTTCTTAAGCGTTAGTCTGAATTTGAAAGCTTAGAAAAAAAAATGTGAGATATGGTTATTAAAGGACAATTATTAGCTTTTCAAAAAGAAGAAAATACAAAAAAGGATAACTAGTAATAATAGACAGCATTGGCACTATAATTATTGTTATAATAATGATATTGTAATTTGTCATGATACATATTTAGCTCTTGTTAGTATTAGTTAAAATATTTAGAAAATATAATTAAACATTTTCAAGAACATGGTCTTGAAGAACGTGTATATGGTAATACTGGTTGAGCTCCAAAAAATATGAATCATATTGAGTTGAATTATGATATAGTGTGTGATATTTATCAATTTTTAAAAAATTACTCCAATATACATAGAATGCCTTCATCTAGATGACATTTCAGTGAAATTTCTATGCTTATTGTATTTCTTCTAATTAGCTACACTTATGCTTCAGTATATCACAATTATGTATGGGCTTATAATGATAAGCATGGAGAAAATACTCGTGTTATAGCTGAATTTACCTTTATCAATATCTGGAAAGCTTTAATACTATCATTTCAATTTATGTCTTCAAAATCTGATTTGTGTGAAACTGTAAAATAATGAAAATGGATATTTAGCATGTTACACAATATAAAAAAAAAGTAGAACTTACAGAAAGTTATATAGCTCATTTAAACCATGCACAACAAGAATGTAATTACTATAATAACAATATAATAAGTGCAGTTGAAGATAGTAAATGCAACCCAAACCTTACTGAAGCTCCTATATCATTTAAAACATTCAATGGTTGTGCTCACATTGCATATAATTGGTCTCAAAATGTACAAGTCCCTACTTGCCTTAACAAATTAGGTCTTTGTTTTTTAAAAGTGCATGAAAAGTACATCTGTTTGGCATTTGTAATACTGAAAATTATCCTAATATATAGCAAACAAATTATGTAATCAATAAGGCTAAAATGCCTGATGATAGTAAACAAAAAAAGGGAATAAACTGTACTTTAAGCTTGGTGTAGTATGCAATCCAAAAATATTATTATAGAGAAAAAAAACTAATTGTTATATGCGATAATTGTACAGGTCAAAATAAGATAATTATTCCATCATAACCCGATTACTGAATACGTACGTATTACTTAACTTTGTTTATATACTGTTACCAATTTAGTCACGAATAGTAGATTTGCAGCTTGAAGCAACCAAAATGCATTTACATCAATCATTAATTGCTTTTGCATTAGATTTGGGATAATTTGGGACAATTTTAGGACATCCAAACACAAATATTATTTTAGAATGTTCTGAAAGCCAAATTTACTCCCAGCTACGCGAAATAGTCTTGCCGAACAGTAACAAAAAAAAAAAAATCAAGAATCTTTCGAATTGATTATCAATGATTATCTACTCATAAAACTAGTAAATTTACTGTGCATTATTTTAATTTTAAAAATTACATTAAACAACTCTAACATTATAGCTAGTGATGAGACTACTAGAGTTAATACCTGGATCAGGATCTTAATCACAAGATCCGGATCCTAATAATAAAATCTAATAATAAAATCCGGATCTAGTTATAAGATCCGGATCCTAATAATAAGATCCGGTTCTTGTGATTAGATCTGGATCTTATTATTAGGATCCGGATCTTGCGATTAAGATCCGGATCCAGATATTAACTTTAAGGACTACAAATGCTAAAAATTCAATTGTCACACGCCGTGTTCTATTAAAAGAATTTGAATTCATAAATTATTGAATGCGACAATTAATAATCACCTATTTTTAGCATCGGTAGTCCCATCAGTAATTACAGTATTTTAACACAATACTGCAATGGTATTATAATATTTAGATACAACAGCATTACGATATTTTATAACGGCATTACGGCATTACGGCATTACGACATTACGACATTACGGCATTACGCATTGCGGCATTACGGCATTACGGCACAAAGTAATTACGGCAAATAATACGGCACGTTGTGATGGGGTGACTAATAAACTTAAACCTAAAACTAATCTAACAAACTATCTGCTACTCAAGATAGTGTATATTCGGCAACCTCAAGACTCTAAAACCTTGAGTGGTAGGCTTCGAATAGAGGCGTGGAAAGACT